AGCCCACTTCAACCAGCCCGCTCCCGCGCGCGCCCGGCCCGAGGCCGGCGACCGGGCACGGCGCAGAGGCACACCCCGGGCCGCCGCGCTGAACGCCGCTCTCCGGCCGAGCTGCCCGTGTCTGCAGAGGCAGCCGCGCCAGGCGCAGAGGCGGCGACATGTTCTGGTCGGCTTCGACGGACGTGTGGATTAGTTCGCCTCCTAATGCCTTGCGTCAATTGCCGTCAGTTAAAGCACCGACACCTGTAATCGAGTGGTGTTGTATGTCGTCGAGTGCCGAAAAACTCACCGATCTCTGCGGGCACTGCTGAGCGTCCGCTGTGTCAGCCATCGGCACGACTTGCAATTCGCCTCCAGTCCTCTCGTCACGCTTGAACGCGCTGCCCTCCCGTGGACTGGACACAGACCTCGGTCGAGCTCGGTCGCACCGCTAGTTTGCAGGCTGCGGTCCGACCGACGCCGGGGCCCCAGCGCCCGCCCGCGCCGCCTCACGTGCGCACGGCCGGCTGCCGGGACACGCGACGGGTCGTGACACTGCGGCGGTCGTCCGGTCCGCGGCGCGCTGGGTCGGGGCGTGTCGGCTGCCCAGCTGCGCTCCAGTTGTTGGTTCTAGCGGAGACAACTCCGCTTCAGGAAGTCAACTCACGGCACAGAAGACTTCGTTAGGCGTTTATGATGAAAAATGTTTATATTCGGTTGCAGGGTGAACCACATGTGGGTATTATCCGTGCGTAAAGGGATGTTGGGAAAAGTTAGTTCATCGTGGTCTGCTTCAATTAAGCTCGGATTTTGCTAATCTCGACGGTGACACATCTATGGACATTGGATGTACTCCATCAACAGTACCTACATATACGAGTTGGCCGAGGGGTACCGAGCTGCACGTCTGGAAATCAGAGTCACCGGGCTCAGTTCCCCCAGACCCCGCTTCTCCTAAACACGCTGAGAGACAGGCGACACTATATATAAACCTCAACACCTGAGAGCGTAGTAAAGCTTCGATGCCACACGACTAGATTGGCCGGATGTAGGTCGGATTACACCATCCCCACACCTATCTCACGCGGATCTTCATACCTCAGTGCTGATGCCCTGCCTTCCTGGATCGCCGACAAAGGCAGCCCAGTAGCCCAGTCAACGCCAGGCATTAGCCGGCGCCGGGATCAATTCCACGCCGGCAGCCCCGCAGTGCAATTACGCTGTAATCGCAGCGGCGCTCGGGTCAGCTGTCATGTGAGTAGGTCGCAGGCAGCCAGGGGGTCACAGACGCCGACCTCAGCTGGTGACGTCACCGAGGAATGTTACTCACGACGGCCCGCTAGCCGGACGGCGTCATTATAACACCACTCCGGCACAATTATATCACAAGTCCTCACCCGCCAGCAGTGCGGCGGCATTGGCTAGCGTCTCGAAGCCTTCCGATCACCAGAGCACACGGCAGCAGCGGACCGGACTGTTTTGAGGGTTCTCAGCCAGTTCCGTTCTCGCGCGGACAAACTCCGCGGCCGTACCGGAGCGTGCGACATCCGAATCGAGCCACTCGCCATTAACAATCGTCCGCTATCAATTTACCGTTCAGCTCGATTTACGGGCATGCTTCTCGGCGAGCCTGCCGCGGGCGCGGGCCGCCGCGGGGCCCCGTTCGCACCGTCTCGGGCGGCGCCGGCTTCGGCGCGTGCGAGACGGCCCCGCTCGTTTGTCAGGCAGCCGGCGGCGGCGGGCCGGCGGCGGCCGCTGCGCGCAGGTGGCACGCGCCGCCGCCGGCGAACGGGACCCGCCGCGCGGCGCCGCCCCGGCCGTGAAATTCGGACAGTTAGCGCGCCGGCCCGGCCCGACCGAGGCGGCGGCGGCGGCGGCGGCGGCGGCGGCGGCGGGAGGGAGGAAGTCACGGCGCGACGGTTCGGAGACACCTGTGGGCTGAGGCGGGACAGGACGCTCCGGCCTGGTCAGCGCGCCAGTTCGGCCCGACCAGACGGAGACGAAGTCCAGGCGCTGCGGCCGTACCGGCAGGCCTGCCCTGGCTAGTACACCCCGGGCGGGGCGACGGGCCAGTGTGAAGGGGTGGGTGACAAAACTTCGGCCCGGAACTAGCGCTCCTCTCCCGCCTCCGTCGGCTGATTGTGCTCCAGCGCCTCTCTTGAACATAAGGAGGAAGTCAGCATCATTCTTTGGGTCTCCGTTACGAGGCTTGTGTCATGTTCCACGGGTGTCGATTTGGATTCCTTTGTGAGGGCCCTGCCTCCCCCCCCCCCCCCCTCCAATGTTGAGTTGTTTTGTTTCGCTCTCCTCCCTTCCTTTCTCTCCGTTTTGTTTCCTTCTCCCCTCCCCGAATGTTTTCGGCTGGGATACTACAAAAAAACGTTGGTAAAAATTATCTTGACACAAAGACTCTCTTCTCCAATCTTTCTGCGTAGTGGCATTTCGTACCACTCTCATGACAAAAAGTCATGGTTGCTCTCACCACAATATACAAATCGTAACAGCTGAGCGGATAAACGATGCTGTAAACTTCGCATGCCTAGCGCCATACGACACGCAATGGTTTGTGAAGTTAAAGTGAACAGTTCTGGAATATGGGGGTGACCTAAGTCTGTCGTGGCTAACCCTGCCCCCGTCCCCGCCAACCAAAATGCGTGCCGCCTCCCACGGCCGCCATAGAAGAGCGCCATCGGCGCCCTAAGGTGGCCTCTAAAGGGGTACCTTCACGTGCCGATCAGAAGAGGCGCGTGCATCCAGTGCCTGCTCCCTGGATCCACCCTTGCGTGACTTCTATACTGCTTAAATTAAAGACTTTTATAATCATATACAGATTAAAAACATATTGCTTTTAATCGAATTCAAGTGGGCTAAATCCGATGAGAAAAAAATGGGTGGGGGAGGTAGGTTGAAGGGCCTTTGGTTCGTCCCCCCGCCCCCCCCCCCCTCCCAATGATTTGCTGAAATGGTCCGTTTGATAGTTAGGAGTGGTAGAACACACTTAATAATCTATTGAGCACAGGGTAGGAAATGTTGAATTCAGATTCTACATCACATTAAGAAATAAAAAATATATACATTTGCCTTTACAACAACAGAGCGCTTTTTCCATTTTCTAAAGTCTAGCACAGTGGTTTTGGCCGTACAAAATGAAAACACTGATGAAACGCACGCTTGAATGTGTCGTTTGTTTTTTGGTTCAATCATCTTTATCATTGAAATGAATTCTCCCGCCACATTTTATGATTTCTCTAAGAGTGTTTAACAAAATATTTTATTACACTCGGCCTACTCAGCACAGCGTTGTTTTGTACCGGACTCGAGCACAGCTAAACAGCGAACAGCTTACGTGGCTGTTCACAGCCCTTGAATTGTTTTCTGCGTCTGGCGACGGCACGCATGCGGGATGACATTCCCAAGCAAGCACAGCCAAAACGCTGCTTCCCTCTCCACCTGCCCTGGTTGGCTCCGACCGTTGTCCATAAATTAGGCCGGCCGTCACCGTGTCCCCATCGCGGCTCGTCTTTGTCGGGCCGCACCACTCCCGAACGACGTCGACGTAACGCAGCGTCGTTACCGTGGTGTTGAAAGGCACCGCCACCGCCAATTAGCTGGCGGCGTGACCGGCCGGCTGTGGGGCCATGGGACGGCAGCGGCCCCGCTGTTCCTGTACTGAGCGGCCTGCTGTGGGTCCATGGGACGGCAGCGGCCTGCTGCTCCTGTACTGAGCGGCCGACCCGCGGCCGGCTGTGGGGGCCATGAGACGGTAGCGGCCTGCTGCTCCTGTACTGAGCGGCCGACCCGCGGCCAACTGGGGGCCATGGGACGGCAGCGGCCCGCTGCTCCTGTCCTGAGCGGCCGATCCGCGGCCGGCTGGGGGGTCCAGGACGCCGGCAGTCTCACCGGCCGTGATCGTCCGGGGCTGTCCGGTGTCCGGTGTCCTGTGCCTTGTGTCCTAGACTGTGTCGTTCGAACCGTCACGCCGAGCCGTGTTTTGTGCATGACTGTCTTACGATGCATTGATATGTTTGTCCAGGCCAGTCCCGGGCTTGCCGGCTGTGTTTGCCTGGACCCGTCGCACCGGGGCCGGCTTTGTGTGTCCAGCTCCTGCCCGGGTCACGGTGAGGGCGGCCCGGCCAGCGCGAGCCGATAATAGCTGGGCGCCCTAATGGGATACTTGGCCCCGCAGATGGGGATCGGTTAATCGGGTGAGCCTCTGATAGAGCCGCGGCTCCCAGCGATCGACGTAATTATGGTGAGCGTGCACACCAAATGAGCTCCGGGTAAAAAGTGATTGGACACGTGCAATTATGAGCCCGTGGATGGCACTCGTTGATGCACCCACACAAAGGAGGGGTTTTAAGGCATCTTGTTCAGCTTAGTACCGTTTGGTTTGCATGCATTTGGTGTACACACCTATGCGTCAATGTAGGTCATTTAGCAGGTTGTTTTCAAGCATCTGAGCGTCTCAAGAAACTGAACATCCATCATCAGGCCAATGCCAGTAAAAGTCAACTCCAATGGCACATTTCACTTGCTGAAAGGGAGATAAATTTAATTGATGTCGCCTGAGAGCACAAACATCCCTATTCATTGACAGTTTAATGTGACACGCTCCCGCACGGCAGCGCGCTGGAAAGCACTGCTGTTGGAGTCGCCGCAAGTGCGTATACTGTCGACCGCGTGGATTGTGAAATAGAGCGCGTACAAAAGCAGCCATGCAGTTGTCACGGAAGCCAAACAATCATGAATAATGCGACGACTTCTTTATACGCCTGGTTACATAACTTGGTACCTAGGAACATCGTTGAAGTTTACAATGCACCAGCGCAATAAACAAAATGCGGCAACAATCACAACCTAACGAGCTTCTTTTTTTCGGCGCACCTATGTCTGACCGCGTTACACCTGCTCGCGACGCGGCTGTGCCCATTAGCGGAGCGCGGCGGACACCGGACCTGGGACGCCGGGCCGGCCGCCGGCTGCCGAGCCTGACCTGACCTGACCTGACCTGACGCCGGCAGGTCGGCCAGCTACAGCGCCGCTTCGGGCGAGTGCACCCTCAGCGAAGTGGACCGCTTCACCATCCGACAGGGCGAGGCGCTGACTCCCGATCCTCAGTACGAGTACTTCGAGTCCAACTGCGTCAACGACCCGGTCCGCATGTGCGAGTTCGAGCCCAAGAAGGGCAAGATCCTGAAGACGGTGGACGTCGTGTTCCAGGTGGGCGGTCGCCTCGGGGCGGGGCGGGATGGACGTGGCACATTTGATCAGAGCGTGGTACAAGGCCTGCCCACCTGTGGCGGCATAAAAAACGATGTTTCGTGCCAGTTAAATAAATGCCGCGACCCATTGAACTTTGGGACGTTGGAAATTAAGGACCAGGCAAACTGACGTTTTTCATGATTTCACGTCACACACAAAATATCCATCATCAAAAAATGATTGATAGATCCAACGGTGTCCGCGAGGTTGTATGTCCAATGTTTACATATATTAGCACAGACATGGCGCAACAGCTTGAGGTCACGTCACGGGGCTCGAGAGCTTAACAGTGACCGGCGCGACACCCCTGGTGTGGCACAAGCCGCCTGGCCCCCTGTGACGCCCGCCCCGCGAGCTTAACAGTGACCGGTGCGACACCCCTGGCGCAGCACGAGCCGCCTGGCTCCCTGTAACGCCCGCCCCGCGCCGCCGCAGGAGGTGGCCTCCAGGGATGACTGCCAACGACTCTGCCTGGGCGCCAACTTCCGCTGCCACACGTTCGACTTCGGCGACACGGGCGAGCGGGTCTGCCGGCTCTCACACCACGGGGAGGCGTCGCTGGCGCACGTGCAGGAGCCCTACCTCAAGATCCCCGAGGCCACCAGCTACGAGCGCCAGAGCTGCTACAACGTGACGCTGCAGTGTAACGGAGCGAACATGGTGGCCACCATCCAGACCAGCCGCATCTTCAACGGCAAGGTTAGCCCCGAGCCCGGGATGACGTCAGAGACGCCGCTGCGCTGGCGCGCCCCCGCGTCCCGCTGAACGAGAGGGAGTGCGGAGGCCTCAGAGCCGCTGTCGCCTGCTCGAGCCGAACTGACCGGCAGTGGCGGGGGCGCACGGATGGGGACGGTACGGGGCGGCGGACCGGACCTATGACCCGGCACGACTGACCTCTGATCCCGCGCCTCTGACCTCCGATCCGTCACGACTGACGGTGTCTGTATCTTTCCAGATATACGCCAGAAACAGCCCCAACTCGTGCGTGCTGGACGTGGAGGGTCAGATGGCGGTCAACTTCAGGATGGGCTACCAGGACCTCAACTGTGATGTACATCAGGACACGCCGGGCGTGTTCACCTCGGACATCATCATACAGGTACGCTCCCGGGGCTCGTCACGCGCTCGTTGATCTCACGCGTGTCTTGTTACTTGTTCGTGTGACTCTGCTCTTGGGATATTTGAGAAGTCTTTTGGCTTGGAAGTAATCCATAGACTGGACTGAAATGGCTCGGGAGATCTCCAAAAGACACGTGGCAGGATTGAAATGAATTTAAAAACTGGCTGTTTCAAATGGAGTGGAATGAACTGAAAGGTCCAAACCAGGTTCAGTGCTCAATGGAAGCATTTGTACGCGACCTATTTACAGACGATTTCCAAGCAGACGAAATCTGAGCAAACCTTGACAAGTTTGAAATATCTTCATGCTTTTGTTCTTGGCAACACCCATGCGTAAAGATACAAATTGTGTATATAACATATGGCAAGACGCCTAGAGGGTGGCGGTATGACCCATGGGGGTTTTTCTACCCAAAAACTTATCAGTCGTCGGTTGAAGACGCGGCGCAGTTCCATGTCACGCCCTATGGAAATATGGGTCACATAACAACGCAGCCTCTTCGCGCGCAATCTGATTGCCGCCGGGAACAGCCGCCGTGAACACAATGGCGGCCCTCACGCTGTCGTCCCGTCTCGTCCGAAGCGAACCGCGGCGTGACGCGGAATCATACGGCCACTGCGTCCGAATAGTGCGCCCAGCCGAGCCTGACCTGACCCGCTGCGGCCGCCAGCACCACGACCAAATCGTGACCTCATCCGACCTGGGCCTCTCGCTGCGCTGCCTCTACTCGCTGGGCAACCGGACGGTGGCGCACGCTGCGGGTCTCAACGTCAACGGCCAGCTGGGTACGACGGCGCACGAGTCGGCCGTGGTGCGCTCGCCCAACGTCAGCATGAGCATCACCGACCGACAGGGCAACGACATTCTCACCGCCCAGGTAACGTCAGCATGAGCATCACCGTCGGACAGGGCAACGGCGTCCTCCCTCTCCAGATAACGCTATGTTCCATATGTTGGGGAAATCCTCACCTCTCAAACAACGTGCTGGTTCATGGGCTACATGAATCCGGATCGTCCAGGTAACGGGCTGATGAAAAGGAAAACAGCATCCTGGCCGCCTACTCTTCGGATGCCATGGTAATAATGCTGCCTGGTCCTTAGAATGCGCGGGCAGTAACGCATCGCCGATTTCGACCATCTCGGCATGCGAAAGCTTGTGGCGTGTGTGATGAATTTTGACATAGCAATCGAAACTAGCTAGCAATCGAAACTAGTTTAATCTGTACTTGACATTTTTGAGAACCTCTTTGTTTGAGCTTTTAATGAGCACGTGTAAAAACAGCAATGGTTGCTTGAGTGGAGAGTTCACAATCTGCATTATTACGTCAGCTGTTAGGTTGTTAAGTGTATTTGCGGGAAACATTACGCATACAGGTAAGATATTACTGTTAGCCTAATTCCTTGTCGAACAACCAGGAAAAATGAAAGATAATTGTATGAACAGCCGTCTTAATAGCTATCCTACATATATCTCTCGTACCTCCCGATTATTCGACGAGGAATAAGACTAACAGTACTGTCGTATCTACACATGCATTCTTTCTAAATAGCACGGCAGTTTACATTGCGCAGTTGACCAACCCCACCTGCCTCAACCGCGCTGTACAGTCGAGCCCTCACCGACCGAGCGTCTTCCTCCAGTGTCCAGCCCCACTCTCCGGCATGCAGTCTAGCCCCGCTGACCGAGTTACCGCCACCAGGTGGGCGACTCGCTGGCGCTGCAGTTCCGCATCCTCGATTACGACTCTCCGTACGAGATCCTGGTGCGCGAGCTGATCGCGCAGGACGGCGTCGACTCGGCCGAGATCCTGCTGATCGACGAGCGCGGCTGTCCCACCGACCCGTCCATCATGGGCGCCGTCAGCCAGGTGGCCGGCTCCGGCCAGCTGCTCTCCGTGCCGTTCGACGCCTTCAAGTTCCCCAGCTCGGACCTGGTGCAGTTCAAGGCGCTGGTCACGCCGTGCCTGCCGCGCTGCCGGCCCGTCACGTGCGAGGTGCGCGACTTCCGCGGTGGCTACAGCCGGGTCGTCTCTCACGGCCGTCGCCGGCGCGCCGTCGCCAACGACAGCCGCAGCGACGTGCTCGTCGTGCGCAAGATCCGCATCGCCGATACGTTCGAGTTCGGCGCGGCGGCGGCGGGCGGCGCGCCGCCGGCCGGGGGCGGCGCGCCGTCGGCAGGGGGCGGCGCCGGCGCCGGCAGCACCGAGTGGCGCCGGCCCGGACGGCCGGCTCGACGTTACGGGGCTGGCCGTGGCGGCCGCCTGCTTCGTGGTGGCGCAGGTGTGCGTCATCCTCGGCTGGCTGTACCTGCGGCGGCGCGGGGCCGCGCAGCGTAAGGTCGAGTACTACGTCAACTCGTCGGCCGTCGAGGGCGACGCGGCGCCGCGCTGACTGGCGTCCCCGCCGACGGGCGCCGCGGTTGTCGCCGAGTGACGTCACAGCGTGCTGTCGTCTTGCGGCGGCCGGTCGGCGGCTGACAGCTGATGCCGCGATTCACCGGCCTGGCCGCGGCGATGACGCTCGGTGCTGTTCAAGCGTTGGAGTTCTTCGTGACGGACCTGATGATTCGCCAAATTCCCGCACGGCAGGCCGCACCGCGGCTCCAGACGTCCGGTGCGCCAGGTGGGCCGTGCCGCGCCACGACTGACGCCTAGAGGAGATGCTGCGGGCGTGACGGGTTGCGCCGCGCACTGGCGCGCTCCGTCGCCGCGGAGGAGGGATGTCGCCCAGCGCTGCTCGGTGGATCCACGACGCTGGCCGATACACGTCGCTGGATAAGACATTTGTAGTGCCGGCACTGCCCTAGGACGGCATCCCCGAGCTAGTAGGCCGCACATGGGCATTCTCATTTAGTGCAAGGACGGCTGGGTGAAGCCATTCTCTTACTTATTGCCACCTCGTCTGTTGCCGTTGTTACTTGTTATGACCGGCTAGGCCCATGACTCACGTCTGCAGCTCCGTTAACTGTCCGTGGATGGAAGCCGGTAACGTTTTTTTATGCTTTGTTTATTATCAGGGGGGCGCCACCGACTTTTCAAGCGAGCAAGCAGACCTAGGGCCTCCCAAACAACTCTGGGAGTCCTTATCTTAAAGCATACCTATAATGATTGAATAACACTTCATGACTTCGTGAGCCCCGCGCTGTCTCTTATCTGGACACCTTTTGGGCAGGCGAGTTCCCCAGCGTTTTCCATGGGGGCTCCTGTGTATCCAATGGGGCCTCTTTTGGGTCGTCTAGGGCCTTTTTCGACCGATCGGGCCTGTTGTTGACCATACATGGCCCCATAGGGGACGTCCTCTTGAGCTGATGGAACATTCTGGTTCTGGCTGCCCTCTGAGGCCTCCTGTCGGCGAAGTGGGGCCTCCGGATACTGCAAGGGGAGCAAAGGTATATATTGGCCCCTTGATGCATGGCAAGAGCCCTGGAAGCGTCACCCTCGCTTATCGCAGGCGCAGTATCCGGCCGCTCGCGCCGCCGGCTTCCACCGTCGTTTGGCGGAGACCCCTGACGTGTTTGTGTGCAGGTACCAAAGATGGAGTCAGCTGGAGCGTCGGCCACTGGTCGCGCCGTCCCGCTGACTTTCGGAGCGCATCTGTGCGTCTGTCTCTGTGTATGTGTGTGTTCGTGTGAGCGCTGACGGAAGCCAGATGCCTGAAGTTGTATTGTTGTTTCGTCTTGTTACGTGACGTGTAAACTTCATCAAGGGTTGTTTCCGGTCTCGAGCGATTGTTCGAAAATCGCAAATGTTCATGGAGTGACGGGCGTTACACGACATAAATAGCTGAGCGAGACGGGCGGTTTGATGGGCGGTTGGCGAGCAGGTGCGCCTGGTTTGTCGGCGGCGCGCCGGCCTGGGACCGGTGAGCGTGGCGGTCGGCGTGGAGACGATGACGGCCTGCGCCGTCACCTGGCCGCACCCAGACAACACTGCTGACTCAGCGCCGCTCCACGCCGCGCGCACGGCGGCGGGCATGCGGCGCTGACATCGGCGCCCGCGCACCGTTTTTACCGTGACCTCGCCCGGATGCGGCGGCGGCGCGCGCTCGCCGTTTTGGCGGGAGCCGATTTGGCGCGCGCTGCCGGCCGGCCGGCGCGGGTGCACGGCCGGCCATGACCTGGGTCCGGTGACGTCATCGCATGCATAATCTCTGCGGCGAGCGGCGTCCGCCGGCCGCCGTGGCCGGATGTAAGAAGGTGAGTGTCGAGATTAGGGGCTGCTCTCTCGGCTAATGGGTCGGCCGGTGTAGCACAAAACAGGTGCCGAGTTTGAATGGTGGGGCCTCGCACATAAATTGACAGCCCCTTACACATACAATCGCGTGTAAAGCCGTTGTTTTTTTATGGAGTGAGAGACAAGCTACGAAGTGCATTGTTTTTACGGCTTGAACTACGACAGGCTTGGGTATTTATGGAATGATTTGCATACAGATCGGTGACTGAAGACAGCCCTTTGTCTCCGACACACATGTCACGCAATAAACAAACACCGCAAACTCACTCAAAGCCAACAAACGTAACGGCCTGTCCCGTGCAGAGCAAAACATGATCACCTCAGTCTGCTAGCGTGCCAAGCCGGTGTTCAGCTATTTCTGCGTGCTTTGCACCGTCATGGAGCCGGGGAGGTGCGATCGGTTCCGTTAGAACCACGCCCACCGAGCGGCGACGATATACGTGGGAGGGGCGGCTTGGTGCTGGAGCGCCGTGCAGCCAGACGTGCGCACCCATATATCCCGCCAAACAATGCAGTAATAAGCGTGACCAACCGAAATACAATGGCAGACGTCAGCAACGTCTGTACAGTGGAACCACGAGCGTGTTCTCAACAGTCCAACTGCAAAAGTCCGGGAAGTGTGCGCCCTGTGATGCTCTCGTGCGTGGGGGGGGGGGCGTGTGTACGTCTCGTGCGTGGGGGGCGTACGTGCGTCTCGTGCGTGGGGGGGGGGGGGCGTGCGTGCGTCTCGTGCGTGGGGGGGGGGGCGTGCGTGCGTCTCGGGCGTGGGGGGGGGGGGCGTGTGTACGTCTCGTGCGTGGGCGTGCATTATGCCTTCCCGTCCAGGGTTGCAGGCTTTCGAGTGTCTCATATCACCAACTTAGCACCTAAAGCCGACAGCCATATCGCAAAATTGTCTAAGGGCAATACTCATTTGGGGGGGGGGGGGGGAGACATGCTACAACAAATATCGAAGACACTGCAATTGAAGTTGGAAGGTGAAACCCGTTCAGTATCGGAACCGGTGCAATTCGCTTTGTTTTCTGGCAAATACCTAGCCGCGAGTACCGAGTAAACCAGTAAACGCATGAAGAGTGGTAACGGTGATAACTACCGAGCCTTTTAGACAACACGAACAAACTTATTTCGAAGGGTGCTGTAATAGTATCAACTGAAATAGGATGCGGCAGCCGCGCTGGTCTCCGTCCTCTGCCAGCGGGCATACGCTACCTGGCCCCCAGGCGCATTGTCAAGTGGCCTGAGTCATGGTGCGAAGCACTTTGCCACTGGCGGGACCACAGTTCGGCTGACTTCGACGGGGAAAGTGCGCACGCAGCCAGTCATTGCTTAATGAGGTCACTGATCTCTTAATCTTTACCCCGAGGAGAATGCAGCGATCAACATGGAGGTCGCTGCATCCTCAGTCTGTGCCTCGCGCGGTCGAAAGTTGCTGCATCCATACAGCGATCGGATGGGGAAGATGTAATGGGCATCGAATAGTTGAGCATGTATCTTGATTTATAGCTGCATTTACTCAAAGAACCGGGAATAGTCGCGCACGGACGTACGTGCTAAATGAATCAGCTCTGTGTCAGATCGAGTTGCTAGAGATTTAACTGACGCAGAGAGGAGTATTCGGGGATTTACAAGTGGTGACAACAACTCGGAAAATCCTGCCCGGTTGCGAATCCCGGTAGAGTTGTGTCCCGCGGGCATTTATATGATGTCAGTAGCCGCCATCGCTTCATAAAAGGGTGCCCGACGACATGTGCCCCTCTTCTGTTATATAAAAACAGCATTGCAAACAACATGGTATGTGTTGAATCTGTTACGTTTACGTGTCTATCGCGAATTTGTAATTGCAGACATTAAATCACCTACACATCGGTGCATGCAATGTACTTCGAAGGAGGGGGGCGAAGGCAAGTGCCAACGGGATCGATTACTGAGTACATCTCGTCTGATTATAGCTGGGTTTGAGGCGCCTCGATTGTCAGTTTGAGTCCAAATACACCTCCTCTAACGAATGCTGTGTGAGGCACTGAAGCCACTAAACGACATGTGCTCTGTCATATGATTGCTTGCATGTCGAATGTGTTCTGCAGTTGATAAAGGTAGGATTGTTGGAAAATATTTGGAATTGTGCTGGTTGTTTGGAATAACCAACTCATTCAGAGCGTAATTAATTAATTTGAGCCACGACCACGTCCGGCCATTGCCCTGGACAAAAATTCCCACTAGCGCCACCTATAATGACACACAAGGTTTGCCGCCCGGCGTTGTACGCTCTCCTGTCCTCACCCTGGTAAAAGAAATCGGGCGCTTGAGAAATCGTGATATATTAAGCCATGAGACGTTTGGGTCAGCTGTGCGATTCTATCCTTACGAACCCGTACTTATCACACATGTCAACAGAACGAAATCCTCGCACCATACCACTTCTGGCTCTATAAAAAAGTTATAGAGCATGAGATCACCCGGATTAGCGCCGGTTGCGATATCCAATTTTAACTCAAAGGTGTTGCGAACAGTACAAGCAATGTCTAAAAGTTGACAAGAAAAGGTGACACAGCCTGGCAAAACCGGGCCTTTTCAAATGCTGCATCTATCACTTCGGTGCATAAACGTAGGGAAGTACAGTGGCAAAAGTTTGACAGGGTGATAAGCCATGTATTTTTATGCCGCACATGCGCTATGATTTGGGCTCCCGGTTCCAAAGGCGTTTCGTCTGTTTATCAGAGAAAGGAAAAGGGCGTAAATCCGGCCATTTAGTACGGCGTCGAGATATCATCCCGAACAGCAAGCTGATTGGGTCCCACAAATTTCAAATGTTCCTTCCAGGTCCGCATCCACCACCGCTTAGTGCGCGTTCCTAAACGCAGTCAAGCGTTTGTTAATTCGAAGTAGACTGAAAAAAGCGACTGTGACATGAGCTGGATCCATTTGATCAATGAACGAACGCGCAACGCACTGCCGCTGGGTCGATTCCCCTTCGAAAATCACTGGATTGGTCTCTTGAAATCAAGTGAACCTTTTCCGGTGGTTTTGCTTTGAGGAGGAAGGGGAGGGCTCCGACCATCAGGACTCTTCTGAACCTTGTGCCTCCCCCCCCCCCCCCCCTGATATCAAGGCTTTGGCTGGGCCTCTGCAGTGAATCGCATCGGGAACGGATTGAATATG